GATGTGCGGCCAACGTTGAGAACCACTGCACTAGATCATTCTTTTTTTTTCTTTCTTTCTTTCTTATGTATGCATACAAGTCCTCTGGTTGATCTCTTACCCCCTTCCCTCCTGCCCCCCAACCTTCCCCGGCCTTCCCGCTGCAGTTTGACAATCTGAGGCAGCTCTGCCTCTTAGATCATTCTTTTAAATAACATCCCCCCCACCCCCCTCCTTTTTTTTCTGCCAGAACTCCTTTCAATTAAGTGGAGGTTTCGTTGGGATAATTAAGCCCTCCCTCTCAAGCCGCCCACTCCAATCTCCCAGGCAAATCAATTAACCAGAGATGCGTCTATCTCCCTGACTGCCGGCCCGTCTGGCCCCGGAGCATTCGCCCGCCCAAGGGTCCAGGGCAGCGAGCAGAGGCGTGTCTGTCCCGCAGGGCGGCTCCTGGCGAAGGGCCTGGCTCTGTGCGGAGGTGAAGTCAGAGCAGCCTCACCTTTTGTTTATTTATCCGCCCACAGGTAGATGTGGGTCACCTACTGTGACTAAGGCCCCCCCTCATCCGTGCTGGGTTCTGGCGGGGGCTGGGGGGCGAGAGGAGATGGACATGGGCAGGTGGCCGAGCATCTCCGACCTGTCTCCTCTGTACAGGGGTGGCAGGGGGTAGTGGCCGCCTCAGAGGGCAGTCATGTCAAATGAGAGGATCCACGGGGTGTCTGCCCGCAGCAGCTACCCCCACCTCTTCCTGGGCGGCTGGAGGGTGCGCTCCAGCAACACGAGGGGAGCGAACAGGAACGAGGGAGACATGGAGCCCAGGAAGCAGGGCTCCGGCAGGCGGGCGGGCTGAGATGCTCCGCTTCCTGCACGCCACCTGTGAGGGCGGCTGGCTCCCTCAGGACCCGATGATGGGGAGTCGGGGAGGCGGGGCTGGAGGCTCTGCCCCTGAGCGGCTGTGGGGTCTCACCCAGGGCTTACTCCCTAACCTACCCCCTCATCCTAACGTGGGAGCCATAACCTGACCGCGCTCCTGAGCAGGGGAGGGAGGGGCATCTGTGAAGTGCCCTGCACAAACCTCTGGCTGGTGAAGGGGTGAGCGGTGGGCCAGGCCCTGCAGAGGGTGGGGCACGGTGAGCGTGCAGAGAAGGGGGTGGCTGTCTGACCCTTCAGACCGTAATGCAGCGTCCGTATTTCCGATGATGGGTGTTGTCATTTTTTATTAATATTTTTGCCACGATAATGCATGTCATGCAGAGTTTACAAGTTAAGCAGGCGCGCTCTGGTGCTCAGTGGTTAGAGCATCGACCTGCACACTGGAGGGTCGCCGGTCCAATTCCCGGCCAAAGGCGTGTGCTTGGGTCGTAGGTTCCATCCCCAGCCCTGGTCCGGGTGGGTGTGGGAGGCAACCAATCGATGTGTCTCTCTCACATCGATGTTTCTCTCTTCTCACCCACTCTCTCCAAAAGCCAGTGGTGGGGAGAATAGAACGCTAAGGAGGCTTGTAGTGAAAACCGTCAGTTCCCAGCCTGGCCAGCAGCATGCCCGTCCTGACCCCCAAAGGCGACCACTCCTGACCCCCCTTCATCATTGCTGCCCTCCGGCACCCACACCCGTGTTTCTGGGCAATGTGTGTGCATCCCACGTGCTGCTGTGTCTGCCCTGTCCTTTCTGTTGGCCAGCGCGAGGCAGGTGAGGACCCGCGGTCCTCTGGGCCCCACTGTGCGCCCCCCTCCTCCATTCTCCCCGTGCATGTGGGTCACGGTGCTGTATGCTACGTTTCCGTGACTAGGTTAGTATTGTTTTATGTTGAGGCTGGTTGAGGCCTGTAATTATGTTTCCTTTCTCAGCTTTTTATTTTTTCCTGTAGTTACTATTGCCTCTCTTTTTCTTTTCATTTGCCGAGGCTTTTGGTTTTAATGTGCCTGTCCTTAATTTTTCCCATCTGACTCTCAGACCGGTCCTTTGCTTCACAATATTATGTCCTACATTATCAAATACCAGAGGCCCGGTGCACAAATTCGTGCACCAAAGGGGAGCATCCCTCAGCCCAGCCTGCACCCTCTCACAGTCCGGGAGCCCTCGGGGGATGTCCGACTCACAGCTTAGGCCTGCTCCCCACAGGGACTGGGAGCCACTGTGCTCGCTAGCTGTGAGCCTGGCTTCTGGCTGAGCAGTGCTCCCCCTGTGGGAGCACACTGACCACCAGGGGGCAGCTCCTGCCTTGAGCATCCACGCCCTGGTGGACAGTGAGCATCTTAGCAACCAGTCATTCCGCCGTTCAATTGATTTGCATATTAGCCTTTTATTATGTAGGATACGAGATGACCATTCAGTACGTTCGCCCTGGCAGTGTCTCTTGTGGGCCCCTGATGGCCCTGCCGCAAACCTGGCCGCTGCTTTTTGCGGCATCCCTCTCATTCCAGAACTTTCCTTGGTGCTTCCCCCCATCAGATTCTGTTTCCTGGGCTCTATACCTTCCTCTTTACTGTTTGAGCCCCTCGTTCTGCTGGAGCACATCCTCAAGTAGCTTCCCAAGAAAGGGGACGAGGAAATAAACGTCTAGAGTCACTGCCTTTCTGAAAATACTGTTCTATTTTTACTCATCATAGTTTGGGTGGGTTTACAATTCCAGATGTAACGGTATTTTCCATCGAAAGTGTGAAGGTTTTGCCTGACTGTCTCACAGCTTCCAGAGTTGCTATTGGAAGCCCGAGGCCAAACTTACTTCCAGAGCTTTTGGGGTGCCCTGTTGTTTCTCCCCCGGATGCTTTCGGGGTCTCTGCTCGCTGGTGGCCTGAAATAGTGAGGTTCTGAGAAGGCGTTTCCCCTGGCTGTGTCGCGTGCTCACAATCTCTTCCCACCGGAAGACTCATAGTCCTACCTGTGGAGATCCCTAATATTCTTTCTTTGGTCATTCCATCCCTTCATTTATAGGATATAAAAGATGCACAAGAAAGGACACACAACCTCTGTCGTCTCTTTCTAGGATTTCTGCTTACTGGGTATTAGACCTTCTAAGTGGACCTCAGCCCTCCTTCTCATCTTCCTTAACTTTTTATTAACTTTTGGGGGAGATTTCTTCAACTTTATCTTCCAAATCCTCTATTAATTACAAGTGTCTGCTACCTTATTTTAATTGCCAAGAACCCGTTCTTTGTTCCTTTTCATGGTGTTATTTTATGGCTGCAACATCTTCTCTAACTTCTTCACGGGCTTTCATGATCAGATGGTGTTTTCTAACGTCTCGCCTTGTTCCGCGCACCCTGCTCCCCGCGGCGACACGGCCGCTCCCTCCTCCCAGAGCCTCGTCGCCCTCCCGGGGGATGGCCGTCCTTCAGGGCAGCGAGGCCGCACAGACAGCGCTGCTTGTGGCTAACGGGTGCCCTGCAGGATGGATGGGCTCCGGGCCAGCCTGACTCCCACACCAGTAACTCCCCGGGCCATCGATTCCTTTGTGAGAAGCAATAGCTCTTTTTAACCCTGAGACAATATCTGCCGTCTTCGGACTGGTTTTACTTCTGTTTTAGGCGTGTGTGCTGGAGCGATATCTCAGGGCGCTTTTGTACAGACACTTTCTGGTTAGAGGCATTTAAAAGGCAGGCTTAAAAAAAAAAAAAAAGCAATTCGGGGCTCGGCGATGAGAGGTGGCCAGCGACCGTGGCTCAAAGCTGCCTCCGTGCGGATCTGACACGTGCTGTCTCCTTCATGTGGGCCTCCTTGCGGGGTGGCCCCCCAGCCCCGAGGGTGCCCCCTCTCAGGGAGCCCATGCGCAGTCCATGGCCTGTCAGCATCGGGGTGATGTGTAGGCATCGGGGTTACTGTTAAATACCTGCAGTTCCGTCTCTCGGGAGACGCAGCCTGTACGTCTCCCCGACCTCAGGCTCCTCAGGCTGTGGGCCAACTGAGGGCAGAGGCCGGAAGGGCAGCCTCGTTCCCGGCTGCCCTGTGCCTCGGTTTCCCCAGTCTGTGCTGACACATCTGGTGGTTGTACCAGCCTGGGCCCCCCTGCGCTCCGTCTCTTGCAAAGGAACCTCTCTCACCAGACAATTTCCAGAAGCCTTTTCTTCTGGTTCTAGAAGGAACCCAGGCCCCTCCTTCTCGAAAATGAAGAAAATTGCTGTCTCCCTTCACCTGTGGGCGGCCTGCTCACATCAGCTGGGCACTCGGCCCAGAGACCGGCCCGTAGCCCTCCCCGCGGTGCCCACTCCTCC